CTTCATAGAATCATGGAATGGTGTGGGTTGGAAGGGACCTTAAAGACTATTTAGATCCAACCCCCCTGCATGGGCAGGGACACCTAGAATTTCCTCCTAATGTTTAATCTAAATCTCCCCTCTTCCAGTTTTCATCCATCCCCCTTGTCCTCTCCCTCCCTGCCCTTGTCCAAGTCCCTCCCCAGCTTTCCTGGAGCCCCTTCAGGCACTGAAAAGCCACTATGGTCTTTGTAGAGAAGGGACTGGAACCTGGAAAGAACAGGCTGTGGTGAAGAGAATCTCTGAAAGTATGAAAGATAATGTGCTTTTTCAGGAGTTACACAGTTGACATGTAGGTTCTGCTCCATCAGAAACTGGTAGGAAGATTTTTTGTTAGAGGATTTGGTCTGGAAGAATCTCTAGGGACCGCCTGCTGGTGTGGTTTCCAGAACAAACACTCCAGACATTCTTTCCCTTTGCAGTATTTGGACTGGCTTGATTGAAAGTTTTGCTACCAGCCTTCAGATCTCCAGGCCACAGCTTCTCCCAAAGGGACAAGGGGAGGGGGCAAGAAAGCTTTCAGTGCCAGCACAAGGGCCTGCATCCCATCAGCCTGCCTGCTGTCAGCACCCTGTCATTAACAGCCTAGCTTCATACAGGCCATGGCAATTAACTCAGCTGAGGCTGAGGTGGTATCAGTCACTTTTGATCCCATCCTTTGACTTTCCCTTAAGTTCTGGCCAGCTGTACAGGATTGTCAGGACCACTCCTGTGTTGAATTGCTGGTGGAAGAAGTGGGAGGTGCTCCTACCAGGAGGGGTGTCACCTTTCCCGCTGCAGCCCACTCTGCCTGGCACACAAGCACAGTTTCATTCCCTGACTCCTGGCTTAGCAGAGATGGGTCCCAGTTAAGATTTCAGGCACCTGTTGAGCTATTCTACTGGTGGAGATGGGGAGAAAGGCTCTGCCTTCAAAAGGGGATGATTGGTACTTTCACCACAAGAAACAGTCTGCATTTAAAATAACCTGGATTTCCTTTTGTGTTGCTTTCTAGTGGTAAATAATCCCTTTAGTATTTCTTGAGAAATCCAGGAGGTTGCTCCCACTGCAATGTGGCATTTTCCTTTTCTGAAGGTACAGAATCAGGTTTTCTTTCAAGATGAGTCACTGGGGAGGATATACTGAGGCACCACTGTGGGGGGAGAAGGTATCTCCTGGGTACAAGTTGTTGAGGCCTACCTAGCATTGATCTGCACTTTCTAGCAATAATGATGACATGTTCTTGGAAACTGGAATGGCAGGAGGATTGTTCCTGGAACAAACAGACCATTTAAAGCAGCAAGTGAGCAGGCCCAGATGTTGTGTAATTGAGAACTCAGAAGTGATAGTGTCAAGTGGTTGGACTGCTGGTGGAAACACATTTTCAGTTGTTAAAAGAGAAGCTGCTCTGAAAGGTGGGAGGGTAGCAGATGTTTTACCTGTTGTGTTAGGTTTTTTAAGGAGGATTCTGTGGTTAAACTAAGTAATTATTAGGCAGGAAGGCTTCTCTGTGTACCTGTGAAACTGGTTGAAGTGATCATCAGGTTATTTGCAGATGTCTGTCCACTAGACTCAGTAATCTAATGGAGTGGTTTGAATTTGTCAACAGATCAGGATAGAAAGAATGGATCAATTAGTTGAGATCAGAGGTGGTTCCAGGAGGCTCCAAGCTGCAGGTCACACAGTAGATCATGGATTTCAGGGTGGAGGAGTGTGAAATAGAGCATGGAGGTGGAAAAAGAGAAACTGTATGTATGGAACACCTTAATGATAGCAATATTGAAAGAGCTCTGGGTGTCTCTGTCCGGGTAAAACCTTTGCTCAACAAACTGGTGCTTTCAAAAGAGAGCAAAGAAGTTGCTAGAATATGCAAGGGCTGGATGGGGAAGGAATCTGAGTGATATAAAACTTCTTCATCAGCAGTATCAGCAGTGTGTTGTCTGCAGTGCTGGCCAGTGTCTCAGGAAAAGCAGTGGAGAGTGAAGGAGGTTCAGGGAATACTGAGGGAGATGGTTAGAGGCCAGGGAAGATTCTCTTAGGAACAAAAACTGGGGTTCTTATTTTACAGCACAGACATGGGAGAGTGTTGTACATATAATTTAATAAAATACTGAGTGATCTGAAGTGTGGATTTGAAGTTTCTGTCCTTGTCTCACAGCAGATGGTCAGTGAAGTATAAAGGAAGCAAACAGAACTGATGGGAAGGGATGCTCTCTCTGTTGGAGGGTTTTCAGCAGGGAGCTCAGTTTAGTGCCTGTGAGCCTAAAAATGGCAGAATCAAAAAGGTGAGGGTGTTCCATGGCTGGAGGGTTATGACAGGAACATTGATGGATTGCTGTAAGAGTTAACTCTTGTGGTTCTGGTTTATGGAAAGTTCCTACCAGGAAACAGAATTAGGCCCAAATGGAAAAAGCAAGGACAGACTATTTGTAGGATAACTCAGGCTGGAGGTGACCTCAGGAAGTCTTTAGTCCAATGTCCTGCTCAAAGCAGGGTGAGCTGGGGGGTCAGATGAGGTTCCTTGGAGCTTTGTCCAGTCTGTCTGTCCTCTTCTGTCTTCTGGGGGGTTCTGGGTATTCTCTGCAGCAGCTGAGGACACACTGCTGAGCTGAGCAGCCCCTGAGCATCCATCCAGCTCCCTGCAGCACTCAGTGGAAGTGACAGAGCTGAGCGCCACCAGAGCACATGCCACTGCTGTGTCTCTGCCCCTGCACCTTGGAACTTGAACCCAAGGACCAGTCAATACAAAACACACTCAATCTAACCTTTTTATTCCATTTTCCAGGTTCCATCTTTCATTCTTACTGGTCCTACTTTGCACCATTTTACGGATCCACTTTTACTTGAAGGGCACAGCTGAGCTATAGATTTGGCATCTAAGTTCATAGGTAAGTGCTGCTGTTTATTTTATTTGACCAGCTTTGTGTTTTGTTGAGTCCTAAAATCTTTCAAAATGCATTGAATACTGTACTGAAAGAAGGTATTTTCAAAGCCATTCCTTTCTGAGCTCTACAGACTGGTGCCAAAGCTGGCTCCTAGTTACCTCAAGAGCAGCAGCAGCAGAAATACTGAGATGTTGAACAGAGCAGGAGCCTGTAGATAGAAGTCTGGGAAGGGAGGAGCAAGACAGATAAATTCTTAGTTATTTTTTCATCATTTGTGTGTCTGACTTGGTCTACCTGGGGCACTGAACTGTAATTGCAAAGGCAAAAGTGCTGATCTGTTTCAAAGCTTAACATCAGGAACTCACCATAAATAATATGACAGTATTAATGTGTCTGTGAGAGGGATTTAAAGCCATGGAGGATGTGAGATTCTGGTTTTCTCCACATGCTGTCTCCTGCTTAGAAGAAAATGGTCAATTTACAGTGATAACTACACCAAGATTCTGTCCAGGAAAATTAAATTTATGAACTGGCTACATAAAACTTCAGTTTCTCTCTGACAGGAAATGACTCCAAGATTCACAGTAAAATCCTCTGCTGGTTTGTGAGACCAAGTTTAAAATAAATAAATCCATTAACATCTGTAATTGCTTATAGGAAAGGCTGACCCAGGGAAGTGTGTAACCAGCATTCCTTACCCTCACATGTCTGCAGCCAAGCCATTTGAGAAAACAATCTCACATGTGTTTTTCCTGCTTTTTTTGAGTCCTTCTGTGCCCAGAGCTTTACTGGAGAAACTGAACCACAGCTGTTGCCATTCCAAGTGAAACACTCCAGTTTAGGCTTAAAAGAAATAGGTTTTGGGAGCAACATAAAACCTGTGGTAAAATAGCCAGAACCATAGTGAACTTAGGACTAGGAAGAGGAGGACAATCAAAATATCTAAGAATAGAGATCTAGTTTGAATGTTGCCTGGGGGCTGATGGCATTTCCATCTGGACATTGTACCCAGTGCTGTACCAAATAATCCCCAGCTAGTACTGCTGTTCTTACTGTGGCTGAAAAGATTAAGAAAGTCATATAAAAATACCATTTGTTTAGTGTGTTTACTTTGTGTATTTGACAGCAGTTTGTGAGATGTGGTGGGTGCTGTGGTTTACTGAGTACTTGGAGACAGAGTTCAGGATTAGTTAGCAGGAGAGCTAATCCTGAGTGTGAGCAGCTGTGGAGGCAAGAGGAGAAAAAGGATGAACATGTTGGATTGAGTTGTCTTCAGACTTGTCCCAGAAACCCTTCTGAAATGCCAGAAACTGCCTTTATTTACTTCTGGAAATGAGGTCAGGCTCTGCTTTTGAAAGCTGCAGTTTCACAAAGCAAAATTTTACACTCAAAAATAGCTCCTAGTTCTGAAGGACTTTTTTTTTTTTTTTTTTCCCCCCTCTTCCCTGCTGCATTCCCTGGTCTTATGTTCTATAAATTTAAGTCCAAATGCATATAAAAAGGACATTCTCAAATCCTGAGCTCCAGGACAAAAGCCTACCCAGTATCAGATATCTGTTTTGAAAGCTTTCCTTTTCTTTCCTAGTGTGGCTTGTGCATGTCTGTGGTGCAATTATAGTGATAGTGGTTTGGCTCAATATCTTGTTTTTTCTAATCTTACTATTTTCAACAAATCCACTCCTCCTTCAGATTTTTCCCTTATCCCACACTGCATCTGCATATACCATCCTATTTAATCACCTTCTTTTATTCCTTTATCTCTTTCTGAAGCCCTGTAGCATATCATGAAGATCCTACACATGCTTCTTATCTGAGGGTCTAGAGACTTCTGAAGAGCCAACTTGTGAAAGCAAGAGGGGTCCTTGGAGAGACACTGTGCTCAGCTAAATGGCTGTGGATTAAGTGTGGAAGAATGAACTGTCAGAACAGCACAGGAGTGTTGACCTCACTGAAGTCTGGAGAATGGAGATCTCTGAGGTGGTGGAAGGGAACTGGTGAAAATTGCAGGTCACAGGTGATGCAAAACTGAACTGACTCTGGTAGCTCCCCCTGTCCTCAGTGTCACAGGCCTCAGTGTTTGGTGGAACCTGCAGGCCAATGGAGGAACAAGACAGTGATTTTAAAGAGTTGTGGGCAAACCTTTTGGGTAGAGCCAAGAAAAATCCTGGGGATGCTGGGGCAGTGAAGAGGACTCAGAAGAGATCAAAGAGCACTGCAGCAAAGAGCAAACTGAGAAGAGGCAAAGCTGCTGCTAGGAGCCAAACCCACCATTACCTACCAATAAGCTTGTCTCAAGATTTGGGTCCAAAGGAACAAACCCTGGTGCACAAAGAAGATGGTGACGCTGTGGCCTTTAGTAGTGGTGAGACTGCACAAGGGGATGGAAGGAGAAGCCCTTTCCCTGCCAGCCAGCTGAGTACAGCAGCCAGTGAGTGTAGCCAGAGGACTCTGGCAGGTGAGTGAATCAACATCTTTCAAACAGAAAACATTCTAGGACCGAAACCACTCTGTAGGTCAGTGGAGCTCTTCAGAAGTCCACCTGAAGAGGACACAGAGCAGCAGTGGTTGAAGCAGGCTGGCATCTTCTGTTCCATCTACACTTGGCTGCTTAGGCTTACACAGGGAGTGTGTTCTGTGCCACAGGCAGGCAGGTGTCCTTCAGGAAGGTGAAACCTTGGTACAAAGTGATGTGTTGAGGAGCCATTATTCACTGTGTTTTGCAGTATCAGAACTGAGAAAAACACCCTCAAATCATCTAGGAGCAAACTTAGAGTATATTAAGGTGGTTTTTCACCCAGTGCATCATTGTGTGGTGAAATATATTGCCACTGGGTGTTGTCAAAGTCAAAACTATGTATGAGTTAAGAAAGGTGTTGGATTAATTCATTAAGGATTAGTCTTTCAGTGGTTACTAAACATGATGACCAGAATGCAGTCACCAGTGCAGGAAGTCCTTAAACTGATAAATAAGGTCACAGCCAGGAAAAGGGTTGTTTTGTACCTATCCTGTCCTGATCACCCTTTCTTAAGGATGTGTTGCTGACTGCCTCAGAGACAAGGTACTGGGCTGGCCAGATCTTTGGTCCCACCTGGTGTGTTGCCCTTATCCACAGGACCCCTCAAGTGGAGCAGTGGTCTGCTGAGGTGTTAGTCCAGCAGTGCCTCTGCCTCCTGCTTCTTAGCACCTCTCTTGGAGAACCCCAGGTTCCTTCAGCTCAGAGCCTGACAATTGAGAGGGTTTGGAGATCAAAGAACAGCAGGAAGCACAGGAGACTGTGTAGTGTGAGTGCTGGGGGGAGCAGGGCTGAGGGGCTGCCTCACTTGTTGCTCTTGCTAGTGACCTGCATCTAGAAAGGATTTAGAGACATCTAAACTGTTGGAGCACAGAAGCCTGATGCTGTTACTGTAATTATAAAATATGAAGTCAGGTAATAACTGAACAAGTTCTTAATTTCTTCCTCTAAGAACAGTGGCTGCAAAACTGAGCCTGGCTGGGGCTGCTTTTGGGAAAGACTCTGAGCAGCTCAGCTGTGTACTTAAAACTGACTGGTAAAGCTCTGGTGTTTTCTCCCCCTCTAGTCAATACCCTGAGTGGCTGTTCCCAGACAACATTATCCTTCCATCCTGCTACACAGCCAGGGACCTGCTCTTCCCCCACCTCCAAGATGCCACCAGCGGTGTCGAAGATGCGGGTGGCAGAGCTGGTAGTGGAGAGAATGCAGCAGTTCAAGAGAGTGGCCCCTGAGCAGCTGAAACACAGCACAGAGGGGAGTTTGCCAAGGTCTGTAGCCAGTGGGGATTTCCCTGATGAAAGCCAGGAGCAGAACCCACCAGAGAATGGTACGTTTCTCCTTAGCCCTTGTACGTGCAGAATGAGAGCTGTGGGCTGGTCGGAATGGTTGCATGAGAAGCAGCCTGGATTCCTGGGCTGTGTTCCCAGCTGGCCTAGTAGCTCAGTCTGCAGCACTGAGTAAATCACTCCAGATTGCTGAGGAAACTTCCTTTCTCTATTGTTAAAGCACTATCCTTACTTTTCTCCCAGCTCTTCTCTCAGGCTGAATTAACCTCATGTTGGATTCCGGAGGGATAATGAGAGGGATAATTGTCTTCTTGGAAACAGGTTGAAATTCCAACAGGATCAGTGAACTTTGTCATCCTTCCCTTGGGACACTGTTAGGTAGCTGTTAGGTACATATGACATCTTTGATAGATCTCCAAGCACTCTGCAAGGTAACATGGTCTGTGCAGATGAATTGAATTCACAGCAATTTTACTCTGGTTTGGATCTTTGTAAGTCAAGGCCCTGTTGGTTCTATATGGACATGAAAACCTGCTGTGTTTTAATTTGTGGTGCACAAGTTCCCATGTTCTCCCCAGAAGCTGTAGCCAAAACTGACCTTTGGCCCCAACACATGCTGTACTGTGCAGGAATTGCCACCTCCTGCTCCAGGGCAGTGCAGTCCTCTAGTACTTACAGTGCAGTTTGTACATGTCCTCCTGAGAAATCAAAGGTGAAGATGCCAGAGAAAGATTACAATTTATGATTTTTTTTTTGTACATGTCTAATTTAATACACTAATAACATGTACAATGAATCCAAACTTTTCATACAGGGTTTGTAGCTTTCTGTCTTAGATCATCTCCTTTCTTTGGCAGATACCCAGCATCTTCCATCCATGGAATATGACGGTGCTCTGGCTTTGACTCTTCAGCAGGAAACCAAAGAGGAAGCCCTGGCAAGCTTGGAGGATGCAGGCTTGTTTTTTTGTCAGATCTGCCAGAAGGATCTCTCAGCCATGAACACCACGCGGCGAGAGCAGCATGTTAACAGGTGAGGGACCAGCATGAAGTCTCCTTTCTGTCCCTTAACCTCCTCAACTGCTCCCTCAGCTTAGCCATTACAGAACATGGAGACAGGGCCACCACGTGGTGGCCAATGAAGAACATCTGCATTGTGGCAAGAACTTCTATGGCTTGGATTAACCAGTTGTTTTGATCTTGTTGCCCAGGGAAGTTGTGGCTGGCCCTTCCCTGAAAGTGTTCAAGGCCAGGCTGGATGGGGCTCTGAGCAACCTGATCTAGTGGGAGGTGTCCCTGCCCATGCAGGGGGGTTGGACTAGATGGTCTTTAAGGTCTCTTCCTACCCAAACCATTCTGTGATTCTGTGATCTCCAAGCAGAGGCCGATTGTCCTGCCCTGCAGGGCTTCTGCCTGTGGGTGGTGAGTCCAGTGCTGCTTTCATCAGCAGTGTGGCAGAGAAGCTGTGACTGTGAAGTGACTATCAAAATTAATGAGGTCCCATTACTGCAGAGTTTGAGATCTGCTGATTCCAGCCAACAAAGTAATGATTGCTCTGTGTTCCTGGAAGTTGTTTGTGTAGAATGTCACTGCACATCTGAGCTGTTTGCCGAGGCAACAGTGATATTGTTCAGGAAGATAACTAATGTGCACTGTGGAGCTTTGACAAGGAGAGGAGAGAGGCTAAGGGAGGAAAGGTGTCCCTGCCTTCTCTTTTGTCAGAGTGTGAGCAGGTACTGGCCTTCCAGTGCCTGAAGGGGCTGCAGGAAAGCTGGGGAGGGACTTTTGAGAAGGGCTTGTAGGGAGAGGAGAAGAGGGAAGGGATTCAAACTGGCAGAGGGGAGATTGAGGTTGGACATTGGGAGGAAATTCTTTAGTGTGAGGGTGGTGAGAGCCTGGCCCAGGTTGCCCAGGGAAGGAAGCTGTGGCTGCCCCATCCCTGGCAGTGTTGAAGGGCAGGTTGGATGGGGCTTGGAGCAGCCTGGGCTGGTGGGAGGTGTCCCTGCCCATGCAGGGGGTTGGATCTACCCAAACCTTCCATGATTCTGTGATTCTAAATTGAAGTTAGTGCCCTTAATTTAACAGTTTCCTTAGTGGTAAATAACAAGTACTTATAATATATGATGTACAAGTAACTTTGTAAATGTAAAGTTTGTGCTTGAGAAAATATCTAAAACATCATATTTGAATGGTTGCAGTTTATTAATTCCAGCACTTTCAGAGGGCAAGATTCTGGAATTTTATTTGTCTGGTCCTACATAACATTGTAGGGTGGCTCATGTTCATTGAGAGTGTCTGCACCTTTAGAGATGTTACTGCTGGTTCTGTCTTCAGGTATTAACTGTTCCTTGAGAGGACAGAGACTGTAGAACAGTGACAGTATGTCAGAAGTGGTTTTTTGGGAACTGAGTCTGCTTTCTGAACTATTAGTTGTGTAGTTGTAAGATGAGATTACAAGGTTAGTTAGGAATGGATTATTTGCTAGCAGCCTTCATCCCAGGAGGTAAAGGATGGACAGATGCTCTGGCAAACCAGTCCTGGTGTGTTAGATGAGTGGTCTCTTACTTGCCCCTGTGTGTGGGTACTGTGTGTCATTGCCTAATCAGGGACTGATTTTTATAAGAGGCAAATCCAGGTTTTCATACCCTGGACCTCTTTGAAGAGGGCAGAACAAGAACCATTGACATTTTTTACATACTTTGGGCCTGACTGGAAGTTCATCGTCCTCTCGAATGCAGGGTGAATTTCAGCTCCTCCCTTCTCTGTGCCATAAAACACGGTCCTTGTCAAGTGAGATACCTGACTTGAAGCTCTTTCATTCTTGACACTGCATGTCAAGTAAGTAGTAAGAGAGACACAGAGAGTCCTGTTTCAGGTGAGAAGACTTCACCATTTCTCTCGTAGGGTGATTCTTTTTTTAACGGTGGTTTATAATTAAACTGGAATGTTGGAATGAATGCAGAAAGAGGGCTTAAGTGATGAAGTTTAAGGAGGTTATTACCTGCACTTGCTTTAGAGCAACATATTTTTAACATGCCTCCAAGGCCAGAATCTCCATGGAGCTGTTACATGTCATATTCATCAGGGTAGTGGGCACATCATTCTTGTTTCTTCAGAGGCTGTTACAGATATTAGAGATTATTGTGCTTCCTTTTCTTTAGTATGGTTTAAATTTAGCATGGAGAGTTTTAGTCTTCAGAGGTAAGCTTTGCCATTGTCTCCCAGGTGTCTGGATGAGCTGGAAGATGCACAATCATCCTCCAGCAAACCACAGGTCCCTGAGTGTCCCATCTGTGGGAAGCAGTTCCAAACCGTGCAGAGCCGGGTCACTCACCTGAAACGCTGTGCTGTGGAGATGGATGTTCCTCCTAAGCTGCTGCTTCAGGCAGTGCAGTTGCAGGTGTCCTCGCTTGGTGATGCACCTCTTCAGTGTCCCAGGTAAGCTGGTGAAGGTAAAAGATGTTGGCGACAGGCTGAGAGAGTTGGACTTCAGCCTGGAGAAGAGAAGGCTCCAGGGAGACCTTAGAGCACCTTCCAAGGCTTGAAGGGGCTCCAGGAAAGCTGGGGAGGGACTTGGGACAAGGGCAGGGAGGGAGAGGACAGGGGGGAATGGATTAAAACTGGAAGAGGGGAGATTGAGGTTGGACATGAGGAGGAAATTCTTTGCTGTGAGGGTGGTGAGACACTGGAACAGGTTGTTGTCACCATTTGACTCAGGTCTGACAACAATGCTCTTGATCCCCTCCCCCTCCCACCCAGGTAGGGAAGGAGAAAGAGAAAAAGAGAGAGACTTGGCTGGATTGAAAACTAAACTACACAGCTTTAATTCAACACTAATGAATGATACAAGAAAATATATACAATTATATACAGATAAATTCAGGTATGGGCAAAAGCCTCTCACCTCCCCCCCACCCCCAGCAACTTCCCCAGCACTCCCCTCTGCTGGACAGTCCCAAGGAATCCTGGAGATGCTGCTGGAGAAGAGTGGAGAGTGATGAGGGTCAGGAGAGCTCGAGCCTAAGGGTTGATGGTGATGGATGGACGGAGTCCATGGTTGCCTTCGGCCATGGACCGAAGAGAAGGGAAGAAGAAGAAGGAAGGAAGTTGTCTTCTGTGATCTCTGACCTTCCTCTGAGCTTACATAGATATATGGAATGGAATATCTCTGGCCAGTTTTGCTGTCTGTCTAACTCAGCCTCCTACGGGGGGGTCACAGATCTCCCCATAGTGTCTGAGCCGGCGGGGTGCAGGTGCAGCCTTGAAGCCTCAGTAGTTAGAAAAACATTCCAGTGTCTTATCAACCTAGCAGAACACACTGTTGCTAGTTAAAAGAAAGCTTACTGAAGGGAAAAAAATCAGTAAAAGGAAAATTGCCTTCATCCTGGCTCAAACCAGGACAGTTGTCCAGAGAGGCTGTTGGAAGCCCCATCCCTGAAAGTGTTGAAGGGCAGGTTGAATGGGGCTTGAAGCAACCAGCTCTAGTGGGAGGTGTCTCTCTAGACACCTCTAGATTGGTGTTGGATCTAGATGGTTCCTTCCAACTCAAGGCATTCTGTGAGTCTATGAAATCCCTTTGTGCTGAGGAAGGACTGCAGGCTGTTCCCTACAGAAGCAGAAGAGTGGGAAAGCTTTTTCTGGTCATCTTGGTTTTTTGCTGTTCTTTTAACTTATTTTATCCCTTTTGGTACAAAGAAGTTCAAGATGGAGACAGCAGATGCTTCTTACGTTTTCAGAATAAGACTTTCTCCAAATTGCTCCAAATTCCACAGGTGATAAGAAATCCTGTGCTCTCTGCTAGGGAAGAAGGCACTGAGTAGGTTTTTGTTATCCTGGATGTGGGAATCTCTCTGAGCAAGGAGAGCAGCTGGGCTGGAGTCCTCAGTGTTTCTTGTCTCTGCTCCAGTCACATGAACTCAGGCTTCCTGCTGCACTCTTGTTTTTCAGCAATCAACCAAGCAGGGCAAAACGAAAAGGCTCCTCCAAAGAGAACTCCAAGGAAAAGCAGAAGAGGGCCAAAGTGGAGAGCAAGGATGAAGATTTGATGGTTGCTATGGCAATGTCACGCTCTCTGTTGGAACAGGAGAAGCAGGAACAAGCAAAATCAGTTACAAATGTGAAACCAATGGCTGCTTTGCCAATCAAATGGAAGCCAGGATCAGGTAGGTGTTAAAGAGAGTGAGTGTCAAAGGCTGTGGAGGAGCAGTGTAGCACAGCCTGCTCTTCACTTCAGCTTTCCCCTTGGGTACAGGAGAGATGACAGCCCTGCCTCTGCTTTGTTTAAACTGTCAGAGCTTCAGCAATAGGCAGTATCCTCACAGAGTCAAAGGCTGCAGGATGTCCATGGGTTTTAGTGAAATCCCTTAAGTATCTTATGCTTTTCCTCACCAATGGGTTTGTTTTGAAGCTGTAAAATATTCTTAAGATAAGCTGTTGTTTTCTGTAAACTGTGGAAGTGAAAAGAAATAGCATGAAAAGATTATTGTTATTTTCCCTGCAGTAAATTGTTTTTTCCTTATTTATCCTGCTGCAACCTGGATTAATGCAGCTTTTTCAGCCTTATCTTTTCTCTCCTTTCTTTCTGCTGTGGACATATGTGCATAAACTGAGAGAGGGGAGATTTAGGTTAGATATGAGGAAGAAATTCTTCACTGTCAGGGTGGTGAGGAACTGGAATGGGTTGCCCAGGGAGGTTGTTGATGCCCCATCCCTGGAGGTTTTTAAGGCCAGGTTGGACGAGGTTTTGTGCAACCTGGTCTAGTGGTTCCCTGCTCATGGCAGGGGGGTTGGAACTGCATGATCTTTAAGGTCCCTTCCAACCTTTATGATTCTATGCATAGTACCTGCTCTGGAGTGCGTCCTTCACTATTTCAGTGTGTAAAAAGACTTAAGAGAGGAAGACCAAGTGCCAGGGGAGAGCATGGAGTGCTCTGTGGAGGGGAGAATTCACTCCTTTGGGCACAGCTCAGCTCTCTTCCTGCCTATAAGTCATGCAGGTTGGATTTGGGGCTGGGTGTGGGTAAGACAGAGATAGCAAGACATCTGATTTCCAGATGGAAATTGCACAGTGTTGGTTGGATATTGTCAGTGACCAGTACACAAGGAAAGGATCCTTCCTGGATTTGGTGGTGGGTTTTCTCTCCCTTGGTTGGGAGGCACTGCCATACAAGCACCATTCCATGGGGCTGGGAGGTGGATTGTTATGCACCAGGTTATGCACCTGGGTCAGGGCAATTCCAAGAACAAATACAGGTTAGGTGGAGAATGGATCAAAAACAGCCCAGAGGAGAAGGATCTGGGTGTGCTGGTGGATGAGAAGCTCAACATGAGCCAGAACCATGTGTTGGAGCCCAGAAGCCAACCCTGTCCTGGGCTGTGTCACCAGTACCATGGGCAGGAGGGCCAGGGAGGGTATTGTCCCCTCTGCTCTGCTCTGGGAAGACCCCACCTGGAACTGTGTCCATTTCTGGAGCCCCCAACATAAGGACATGGAGCTCCTGGAGAGAGTCCAGAGGAGGCCATGGAGATGATCCAAGGGCTGGAGCAGCTCCGCTCTGGAACCAGGCTGGGAGAGTTGGGGTGTTCAGCCTGGAGAAGAGAAGACTCCAGGGAGACCTTAGAGCACCTTCCAGGGCCTGAAGGGGCTCCAGGAAAGCTGGGGAGGGACTTGGGAAAAGGGCAGGGAGGGAGAGGACAAGGGGGATGGATTAAAAGTGGAAGAGAGGAGATTTAAGTTGAACATGAGGAGGAAATTCTTTGTTGTGAGGGTGATGAGAGCCTGGCCCAGGTTTCCCAGGGCAGTTGTGGCTGCCCCATCCCTGGCAGTGTTGAAGGGCAGGTTGGATGGGGCTTGGAGCAACCTGGGCTGGTGGGAGGTGTCCCTGCCAATCGGAGGGGGGTGGAACTAGATGATCTTGAAGGTCCCTTCCAACCCAAACCTTTCTCTGATATGCAGTTGCTTCTGTAGTGATCAGCTTTTGCAGAGGTGGGAGAGCTCCCAGCAGGCAGGACCAGCAGGACTCAGTCCCTTCTGGTGCTCACCTCTCCCGGACGGGCCACACAAGGCTCCGCGATGCCTACAGGGAGCTGAGTTGTCTCAGCTTGGAGCTGCCCTTGGGCATCACTACCTACAGCACCTGAAGGAGCTGGCATGTTGTGCTCTTCTGCCCTGTGTGTTCAGCTGTTGATTTATTTGTGTTCCTTTGCTTTTTCAAGAGAAAAAACGGCGTAGAAGAGGCCCAACTGCAGCCCCACCATTGCTGCTCCAGGACCCCGAGAAGGCTCACAAGAGGATCCAAGAACGAGTGGCCATGCTGCTTGCAGAAGAGGTGGAATTCCCTCCCACCCCTCAGCTTCCCACTAGTAGGATTTTGGAGGATGAAGATGGGAAAGCAACGTGGCTTCTGCCATTGCCCAAAACCAGGGAGTGCTTTTTATGGAATATCAGTGCTCTGACAGGACCCTGTGACCCTGAATCATTCTACGCTGCTGGGTTAACCCCTCTCATTGCACCTTGGAAGCCTGTGCAGGTGGGATGCTTGTTTGTCCTTGCTTTGATACTTGTGTGCCCTAGTGCACTTAACCTGTAACCCTTGTGTTTCCTCACTTGGTATTTAAACAATCCCTGACCTCTGCATAGCCCCTGCTCATGCCCTGCTGTCCCCTTTCTTACACAGTTAGGTTTTATGAGCTTGAATTTTCATTTCTCCCTTTTGAGAGGAGACCAATGTTACCATGTTTCTCCTTGAGCTTTCAGAAGAAGAAACTGATGGGAACAGAGTCCTGAGTAAAGGGAACCCATCCTGTTTATTTTGCCACCAGTTTATCTGTGTTTAGAGCAGCCTGGCTCTTGTTTTCCTTCTTGGCACCTTTCTCTGATTAATTCCAGAATGATCTTTGTCCATTTTCACTCAGCCAGGATCTGGGTGAAAAGTTTGAATAGCAGAGTGATACTTGCCTTGCAGAGAGGACAAGAGACACTCCTAGAATTGTCAAGTGAAGCATTTGCACTTCAGACTTTCCCTGTGCATCCTACCTCCTCCTGGTGCACATGAGCTTTGATGCAGTTTTCAGTTCCACTGTTTTCATTCTACTTTTCATCTAGATCTCCTGCTCTCTTTCAACACTATATTTTTATTCTAAGTACAGTAGCAGACAAAGCTCTTTTAGTCTGATCACACACTTGCTCACAGAGAAGGAGGATATCCCTTCCCTCCCTCATTCTTTTATTGAAGAGCTGTTTGGTGCTTCTTTTCAAAAACTACTGTGCATATGTAGGTTCTTTAGTTAATACTTCTGCCCTGGTTAAAGCCCAGAGGTTTTTACTTGGTCATCATGGAAGGGGGAAGGCTCCCTTGGAAAGGGACCTACAGAAAAGCTGGGGAGGGACTTTTGACAAGGGCAGGGAGGGAAAGGAGAAGGGGGAATGGTTTTAAACTGAAAGAGGAGAGATTTAGGTTAGAAATGAAGAGGAAGTTTTTTAGTGTGAGGGTGGTGAGAGCCTGGCCCAGGTTGCCCAGGGCAGCTGTGGCTGCCCCATCCCTGGCAGTGTTGAAGGGCAGGTTGGATGGGGCTTGGAGCAGCCTGGGCTGGTGGGAGGTGTCCCTGCCCATGCAGGGGGGTTGGATCTAGATGATCTTGAAGATCCCTTCCAACCTAAACCATACTATAATTCTATGATTCTGGGACTGTACTGGATGGGGTCCATTAAGATTTTTGACCTTCCACTCAAGCCAAAAACTGCCAGAGAAGTTTAAAAAAAAAAAGTAGAAAAGCCTTGAAAATCAAGGCCAGAGTGTGTTTTCCCATCTGATTCTTTCCAGCCACAGAAATGGCTAAACCATTTTTACTTAGAAAGAAACAAACAAAACTATTTTTATTAGGAAACAGAGACCAAAGCTGGAAAATATCAACTTCAAGGTGAAGGTTTGATTTAGTTACATGGAACTGCAAAAGCATTTCAGAACTCAGAACAGAAGCACCTGGAGAGCTTCAGCTCTGACTGTTGCCAGGCACTCCAGCTATAATGAAATAGTTAGATGTTGGAGCTGGGAGCATTTCCACCATCCTTTCTCCTGCTTGGCAGTTGCCTGCACAGACATGCTCCTGGAGAAACCACCTTTTCTGCATTTCTGTTGTAGTTTCCATTCTTCTGTTTGGAGTTGTCTTATCTCCAGAGAGTCCTTCACAAAACTGCAGAGAGGTTTTGCCTCAGAAGCCCTTGTGTCCTGGGAGTGCTCTGTGATCCTTTACTAGAAAAGGGTGAAGTAGAGGCTTTACTCTGAGCTCTGCAAATACATAAAACGTGACCTAATTTATTGGTGTCTTTTTTCCTCCTCTTTTGATCAGAATCAGAAGCCAGAGACCCTTCTGCCATCAGTGGGATCTGATCAGCCAAAAGCGTCCCAGCAGATTCAGCCTGAGCTCAGTTCTCAGGAGCTCACCAGTGCAGAGGTTGGAGGCCAAACTCCTGATGAATCCAAGTCAGGCCATGAAGATGGACAGGTTTTATCTCACAGCCAGAAGGATGTTCAGACTCTCCAGAACCTAATTGAGTTGGCTGGGGAGGGACTTACCCTCACACAGTGGAACCTTGATGTTCACCATGTTCAGGCAACAGAGCAACCAGGTAAGTTCTGGCAGCTTCAGGAGCCCTGTCCCTAGTCCTTCATTGCACAGAGCCAGACCTGTGCTCTGCTGCCTTAGGAGCAGCACCCACGGGATGTTAATGTTTGTCCAAGAGGTGATACTGGGAGGGGACATTTTTCTGTAGTAAACTTTAGATATAATCAAGCTGGTGGTTTGAAATGATTCATAAATCCCAGCTTTTAAGAAAACTCCTGGACAGCTGGTTCTGAATTTCATTTTTCAAGTCCTTTAAAGATACCCAAGTCTTTTCTGCCAGGTAGGTTCAACAGCTGGGCCAAAACTGCTCTCCCCAGCAATCTGGACAGTCTTGCTGTTGTGTGCACTGTCTTTTGAAGTCTTGAGAGAAGCAAGGGAAAAAGAAGCACAAGAGGGATAGTTTTATGGTGGTACCTTGAGTACACAAACCTGAAGTTTTATCTGTACCTACACAGGGCTGAAAAAATACACCACCCAGAATTCCTCTGTGGGCAACTCTCAGATGTCCCCAGTCATAGATCCATATGGTGCCCAACTGCACGTTTCAAGATCAAAGTTATCCCCTAAAATGGCCTGAGTTTTCAGCAGTACCTGTTGGGTGTCTCCTTTTCCCCTGTGACACAGAACATGGCTGCTAAGTTAACCCATCTGCATTGTCATGTGGGTGAAATAATATTCCTCACTTCCTACTAAACTGCAGCAAAGACAAAACTGGCCCTATAAAACTGCTTCTGGGGTTTCAGTGGGGATGATGCTTCCTGGGTGAGGGACATAATTTATGCACAAACATGTCTATTGTGTGTAAATGAGACCAGGTGGAGAAAAAGCCTGGGCTGCATGAAAAGCAGTGTGGCCAGCAGGGGAAGAGAGGTGGTTCTGCTCAGCTCTCATGAGACCCCACCTGGAGAACTGTGTGCAGTTCTGGAGCCTCCAGTACAAGAAGGACATGGAGCTCTTGGAGAAAGTCCAGAGGAGGCCACAAAGATGATCTGAGGGCTGGAGCAGCTCTGCTCTGGAAACAGGCTGAGAGAGTTGGAGATGTTCAGCCTGGAGAAGAGAAGGCTCCAGGGAGACCTTAGAGCACCTTCCAGGGCCTGAAGGGGCTCCAGGAAAGCTGGGGAGGGACTTGGGACAAGGGCAGGGAGGGAGAGGACAAGGGGGGATGGATTAAAACTGGCAGAGAGGAGATTGAGGTTGGACATGAGGAGGAAGTTCTTTGTTGTGAGGGTGGTGAGAGCCTGGCCCAGGTTGCCCAGGGAAGCTGTGGCTGCCCCATCCCTGGCAGTGTTGAAGGGCAGGTTGGATGGGGCTTGGAGCAACCTGGCACATCTCATCCCACTCTGCATCCTTGTTGGTTTTTTTTTCCCAGTGGAGAAAAGCTGGGCAGTGCAGGCAGGGAATCAGGCTGCACTCTGCAGTTCCTCCATCTGGATGGTTGTGGCACAGATCTGCAGTAGGTTGGTGGTGCTCAGGGCTGGATGGTGCTCAGGTACCCATAGCCTTTCACAGCCCAAAGCCAAACCCCTCAGCACAGGAGGGAGAGGCTGAGCCTTCACCTCAGGCAGGCTAGTTCCAGCAGCTGTGTGGGGAGCTGCCATGGCAAGGATCCTGTCAGCAGCTTTAACATCACTCTGGCCTTGCAGAGAAGCTGTGGTGATCTGTGATCTGCTTTTTCTTCTCTGAGGAAAAGAACTGACTTCCAGTGATATTCCACACAGTGGCTTTGTCTCCACATCCAAAGAGAAGAGCCTGCTGAGGAGCAGCTGTAAAAAAGTAAGAGCAACCCTTCTTTTTTTTTCTTTCCCTTTGCATTTATTTAGCATTGTAAAAAAGAAGCTATTGCCTTGGTGCACTTCAAAGAAGTATGGAATAGTTCCCCTTCCTTTCCACAGAAACAAGGAGGTGTTCAAGGTTCACAGTCAGTCAGGAGCCATGGTGGGCAAGGTGAGATCAGCACACGTGGTGGTGTTTCATGGATGCCCACAAGCAGGTCTGTGGGTTTTTCAGTTCTTGTCCTACCTGATGAGAGGGATGAATTGAAATGACAGGCAGCACAAGGCAAATCTGTGCATAGTTTATACAAAGAGAACCAGGTTAGACAGTTACAGCTCTGGGAGTATTTGGGAGTAGGAACCAGGGATGCAGCTCTGCCATATCAGGCAGTACTCTGCTGTGATGCCCAGGATATCCAAGAGAAAGCTGACTGCAGGCCAGGAGAGACAGAGGTCCCTGGTGCTTCCTCCAGGCTCACACACCCTTTGGTGGCTCTGCACAGAGCTGCTCCTCCTCCATCACCTTCCTCTCCACACCATGCCTTACAGTGAAGGGCAGTTATTGCAAGGACTGGCTGGCTTGCACTAAATCCTCTCCTCTGGCATCAAAGCTTGATAGATGATGTGGAATGTCATGAGGTCCATGGAAGATGAGCACTTTTTTTGCTGCAGTGTAGAAAATCCTCAGTTGTGGGAACACATACCAGAGGATCTAGCTTGAACATTGGTGTGCTGTCTAGCTAGGTGAAGAATACCAGCTAGTTAAGTCACAGATTATTTTTTAATCAAGCCAGTAATGATCTTTAGATCACATCTTACCCCAGATGCACCAGCAGATGTGTAATCCCCCATGGCTATATAATCCCATTTTCTTCAACTGAGGTGCAAATAAATAAAACCCTAATTCATCTTCTTACCAGGGTCACCCACTTTGTCTGGTGAAACTTACTCGTCTTTGCTTTGATAATAAATAATTGTGCCATGAAAGCCAGTAGCTTTTGGTGCCAGGGAAATTGTGATGCCTTGAGGATGCACCTTCATATTGTGGTGATAGAATGAAGAGACTTCTGAAAGAGACAGTTCTGGGAGGTGGGAATCTACTAAACTTGAGCATCCCAGCTGCTTGTTACAGAAACTACACAGCAAAATAGATACGGGGATATTAAAAAAAAACACCAAACAAACCACTTAGCAGGAAAAAAACATCTTGTTTTGTAAGATTCTGAGTCTATTAAACCAGAGGCCTCCAACAATACAGAAGCTGTTCTGATAGTGGTGTTGAAAATTATGGTAGGGGGATTTAGGTTATGGTTGGACTTGGTGAGCTCCAAGGTCCTTTCCAACCAGGATGATTCTATGAAACTCAGTGGCTACCAGCAAAACCAGTATGATCAATTTTTCAGATTTAGTTTGATTCCATGCTAGTTTTCCTGAGCAAGTGAAGTGCTGCTGAGGAGCTGGATTGCCAGTGGGAGAGGTTTGTGCTTTATGTATGATGGTGGAAGGTTGGAACTTCCAACCCCAACCAGTCTGTGATTCTATGAGCACAGAGTGTAACCATGCAGAGCAAATACATCCATTGCATTGGTAACACAGCCCCCCACCCATGCTGAAGACCCTTGTGAAGTCCAATCTGGCTGGCCTCCTTGGTAGGAGAGAGTTCTTGTGTTCTCCCACAGGAGCACAGGCCCACTCAGAGCTGTCCTGGGATGGGTGTGTTTGCTTTGCACAGAGGATGGGGCAGCCAGGAGGTTTCCTGCCTTCTTTAATTTCT